ATATTAAAGAGAGAACAGCAATCGTGCTGGGGACCATGGGCCCCTGTCCTTTTTCCTTTTTTTAAATCTTTATTTTCATCGGAATACCCAGCAGGTACCTCTGCGGAAGAGAAGACATCCCATTGATTTTAACTGATATATATTTAATCTCACAATGATTAACAGATTTCAACAGCTTACATAACTGTAAGTAACAGCCTGGCATTATTACTTGTAGGTTTTTTTCTACATGTAAAGATATTATTGTGTATTACTTTACCTTGTATAGTGTGACTGTGATGTCAACAGGCTCAGGATCAGACCACACTATAATGCCCCTGAAAGGATTGCTGATCCCAGGCTGCCAAGACATTGGCTGAAGGAAAATTGCAATTTTGTAAGTAAATCAGGTGTACTTACCATTTACACCAGAAAAACAGAAATTCTAGTTGACAAATCAGATGGTTTGCACCAGTCAAAAAATATGGGCTGTGATTTGAGGCAATACAATTTTCCTACTCTTTGTACTCTGTTTAGCTGAATTGGATATACTGCGCTTTATGGTGGGTTGTTCTCCACTGCATCAATTTTTATAGCTTTACATTTATATACCTAGGTAGCATCCCACTGATTCAATCAAAAGACCTTCCAGTCAGTGACTCTGGATCTCTTACTGATCACAGTGACACTGGAATGCCAAATTATCCCTTTGAGTTCACCAGAAATCATTGATGTTTTATTCCCAGCACCAGGCTTCAAATGAGCAGTATTGCCACATGTACAAGAGTAGGTGGTTTATACTAAACAAATTGGGATGAGTCATTTCCAACAGGTCAAGTCACCTTTAACCATCTTCAACTTTCAACTTTATTTTTACCATAGCAACAGAGACCCAGAAATTGTCACTCCACTAGAGTCTGGCTACCACCTGCATCACTAGGCAATGTATTTATAAGGGAAAAACATATCTACCTTGGTCAGTTTTCTTCTCTTTCTTCGTGTCCATACCACAACAAGTTTGTTGGGCTGCCTGGATGAGTAAAAACATTTACAGTCAAAGCTCTCTAAGATGGACACCATTGGGACTAACACTAGCCATCCATTTTATAGAGAATCAACTTTAAGGATTATAGAAAGGCACGGACCACCTTTGGGTGAACCCTACTGGGGGGGGGGCACTCAAGGAAAGTCTGGGTAGAGGTGTGCTGCAGAGGCCTTCAAACCCCAACCCTGTTTAAGACAAAAATTGCTCATTTTGCTACCCTGTTTAAGACAGGGGACACTACTTTCTGACCCTGATTTGTTTTGTTTTGCATACAGAATAAGCAATTTTGCACACTAAAATCATGGAAATAGATATTTAGGAAAAAAATTATTGGTATTGCAAATGTAGACCACTCATCGCAAGTCTTCGCTGTCTTTGAAAGGCTTCCAGTCCAAAAAGACACCCTGTTCAAGACGCTTAAAAATGAATCACCCAGTGAATGTCTTAGTGAGTTATCTGTCTTTTAGAGGCGTCCATTAAAAGAGAATTGACTGCATTAATGGTACCAAAATTCTATAGCGTTAAAAAAGAAAGTAAAAATTTCAAAAACACGACATAATGTTTAAGCTTTGAAGACATGTTTCAGATATTTCAGTATTTGTCACCAAGCGTTAGTTCAAGGTGACTGGAAACTGGCCAAGTTCTACTTTTCAATCGCATGGACTGAGACAATGTCGAGGTCCACAACAACACAAAAGAAGCACATGGCCAATACTTAGCCATCTTGACTGAACAAGTTTGGTCAATAACGTATATATTTCTGGACAAAACAAAATCTTTACTTTCAGGACAAAGCAGACAAATGCAAGTGGACAAGATAGGCCCATTGTGCTCACTCATGTAACCAATCAGTTTACAAAATACAGGTTGGGGTTCAATTATAACTGAAGTAGCCAGCAGGTTTGAATAGAGTAAGTGACTGTGACAAGGGGCTGTTAGTCCCCTTCCTCTAGTGGGGTCTGGGGGCATGCTCCCCCAGAAAATTTTGGAATTTCAAAGCCCTAAAATGCAATTTCCAGTGTTCCAGGGACTAAGTTGAGAAGAGAAGAGCGCATTTTTCATGCAAGAAAATATAGCTTTCATTCAGGTTTTTTAGCCACACAATCAATTCTTACAAGAAATGAACAGATGTCAAGATTCAAACTTTAGTGCATTTGCACATAAATAAATTCTGCGTAAACCTAAAGGAACATGGAAAAAATTGACTGAAATACAGCGTTTGTGTAACCAGAAGTGCTCTGGTGTAGCTAAACTAGAACATATTGGTGGATATTGAAATCACATCATATTATTAACCCCCATTTTAATTCAGATTTAATGATATATTTTTTCTTTATGAAGTTTTAAAAACTAGTTGCTTCTTTTCGGGGAAAAAGGTAGCCGACTGCTCTGAGAAAAGCAGCTGACACATTTTGTCAGTCGTCTTTGCTTATTGAAATCCCTGAAAAGACATAGTGCCTACAAGAAAAAACAAACAGGGACAAAAAGGAAAAAAAAGATGCAGTTATTTACAGAGAAAATTAAAGTAAGAGTCTTTTATTAACATGCTTAAAATATTTGTTCAGGGTGGGTAATTCCTATTCAAGATCAAGGACTTCTTTGTTCTTAAGTGGGGACAAGAGGGAGAAGAGTCTATAAGGAAAAAACAAGATTCTACAAGACTCTCAAGTCTGCGGTGAATTACAGTCCAAAAATAAATTAATGCTTTCTATCACCCTTTCAGATTATTGACTTAACCAATCAAATGGGATAGATTCTAACCAATGCAGTGTGAGCAGTGAAAATCAGCTATGGTATAAAACTCCTTAAATTTGATTCATTTGAGACCTTTTAAATCATTGTCTCCAAACATTGTAAAACCCACACATCTGAGATGTTTTTTACATGACAAAAAAAATACCACTGATCAAGAGGCAAGAAAACTTATGTCAAGTACATGGTGTAGTACATGACAGGGTACTAATAGGCAGGATATTTATTTTGCCAGGAACTATTTTTGTTGATGAAGGCTCAAGCAATAGCCACAATGTCTTGGGACATTTTGGAAAAGATCAACAGAAAGAGTGAGCATTGATTTACTGACCAAAAAAAGGCCTTCATTTCACAAACTGGCTGAATGCCATGCCATGCTTGTGCAAGTTTTCTTTTTAGAAAGAAAAAATGCTAAATCATGTCTATTGGAATGCTAATAAAAATATTGTTGCTCTGATAACAACAGCTTGTAAAACATACAAGAATAGAAAACAGGCATCATATGGCATACTGGACTCATGTTACTCCCGAGAGAATTATCAACTTATCGGATAATTTTACAACTACATAACGTACAACAATTCGACACATGGAGTAGAAATTTTAATGAAGACAAACGTGAATCCCGTGACAATTTTAACGCTAATTTCAACGTGCTAATGAAAGTACCGATTCACTGACACAAATAAATACATTTCGATTTACAATTGAACCTTAATTTAAACTTAATTATTAACCATTTACGAAAGAATGGGCATTTATGCATCGTCTTTCATGTAGAAACGAGTTAATGGTAGCCTTCAGTTCTACCAAAATCACTTCTTTCATTTTCATAACCGACGCCCTCGCAAACACTTTAATGAAGCTTATTTAACAGCAAAATAATATTTTTCTACCCGACGTAAGTAGGACTACGCTTGTTTGACTGCAATATACTTAAGCTTACATGTAAGTTTGCGCAACACTATACTAGACACTAGTTTTCAAGAACCCCAAAACACAGCCCTTTCTAGAACAAACTAATGATTAAAGACTTTCTACAACGGTAAAAATTTAAGTTGTAAGAGTGGCGACTTCAAGCGAAACTTGTACTTAAGCTTCAGTTTATAATTTTAATACTTTGCGACCGCGGGTCTGTAGCATATTACAGCAAATAGCTTGATCTGTCTGCACTTCATTTTAAAATACTTTCACAACTCTGCGAAAACCTACCCAAGTTAAACCATCGACCCTTTTCGAGTTTTCGATCACAACAACATTTTAGCTTTGTTATTCACAACGAGGGTGTGAAAGAGTACTCATGGGCGTAAAAGATTCAGACCCGACTACTGTAAGTAAACTCACCATTTACCACCTCTATCACACTCAACAGTCAGCGACTGATACGAGGCAGTGAACTGGAATTTGGACGCTTTTTTCCCAACACGTTGTAACCGCTTCCAAACCGAAGTCATCTTTCATTCACTCGAAAAATGAAGTACACTATCGCCCACGAGAATTGCACTTCCCCTGCGTCCGCCATTGTTGATACATTTGCAAGAGCTTGGGTGCCGCGTATTTTTTTATATTTTTATATCGAAAGTTCTACGTTGTAATCGAATTATGTTCGCTTGTCTTCCCGGATATTCTTCGTTCCGACAAGGATAAGGCCCGAGTCAAATTACCCACAGTGCACTAAGTACCCCAAATTTCCTAATCACGGGATCCGCCATTTTCTTATCGTCTTCTTCCGTATTTGGCTTTACATTTTCATTTACTGACCAGGTGAGTTCCTTGAAATTACACTATATGCAGGCTAGGCTGTAAAATTTCAGTATCTTTTTTTGAACGCTGCGGTTTTTACTGCCGCTCACTATTGATCATTCACACTGGGGGTGGGTGACATTATTGACTGCAATAAGCTCAGCTCTTCTGTTGACCGCATCTACCTGTGGCTATAGCTTTCACGCGCTTAACGATAAATAAAGTGATTTATTATTCATCTATGGCTTTCAATACCTTTTAAACCTAGCTACCGTCGGTTTTAGTTTCGTCCCTTAAATAAACTTGTTATTGAACAAAAGTCAACGGAGGCTGTGATGATGATCACTGTCTTTTTTACTATTTTTCGAACTTCGTCCGCTGATTCCTTTCCGTCTTCATATAAGCTTATATGAAGCAGATTTCTCCTCGATCAAAACTTACTGATGCCATTTTCGTTTTACTTACAATTAGCTTTCCTGATATGGCGGCGACAGGACCTTACAACTATTCTTACATATTCAAATACATCATAATAGGTGAGCCAAATAATAGTTATTTAATTTTACGAAACATTTTGCTTTGTCACCAAAACATTCAATTAATGAATTTAATTAATTAAGATCACTCTTTAGAAGGTTGATTTAACACAGTTGTTTCAGTTAAGACAGAATCCACCAGGAAATTGAATAATTTTAAGTTTCAGTGGACAAAAACCTTGTACCAGAATCAGGGTGCAAAGAAAGTCGGTTTTGTGGCTTGCCATTCGGGCAAGTTGTTGCAGAGTCTTTTAAGAAGCCCCCCCAAAATTTTTTATGCGCAGCATTGATTACAGTTCTTCTTTAATTTGAATTTCCCCAAAAACTTCACTTGCCCTTCAGGCAAATTAAGAACAGGATTGACTAGCCTGATTGCCAATTCCAGTTGCCCTGGGCTATCGGACACAGGTTTGTTTGCATGCTGACCAGAATAATTTAAAGCATATTGCATTCTTTTTTACATTTTTCAAAGCCTAGAGATGTAATAAATCATCTGTAGTAACACTGAAGAAAATTTCCTATGGGAACCCGAGAAAATGAATTTCAAATTTCACAAAATTACATCTTACACAAGAAATTTTCAGAATTTTACCTGTGTTGTCACAATTCTTGTGAAATTCGACAGTTTCAGTTTCTCGGGTCCCATGAAAAATTTTCTTTGCTGTTATTACAGATGACAAATTATATCTTTAGCCCTTGAAAAATGTAAAAAAGAAGGCAATATTGTTTGAATTATTCTGGTCCAAGGGTTTTGTCCACTGAAAATTAAAATTACTTAATTTCCTGATGGATTCCGTCTTAATTTTCTTTGGTACAATTTCCATATAACCCCATACATTTATTACGAGTCAAAACGTGTATGCATTCACAAAATAAATGTTTAGGGCTTTACGTAAATATTACCCCAGTATGAATAGCCTTGAGGTTTCTATCTTGAGAAGGCCACTGCCAACTTCTCTTCCAGTTACAAGCCCCCTCCTGTTGCTAACCAGTGTATATATAGAGTTTACTATGACAAGCGATTATCTGGGAAGATGAACTACCTACACTTAACATGGGAAAAATAAAGAATTCTATCCACAAATCCACAAAATGTCACAGGCTGCGTTTTTACCCAAATAAATTGAGGTCTATTCATTTGCAACGTGCTCATTTGGCCATCATTCTTGCCGGTTTTAAATTTAAAACATTTAAAAAAACACTCCATCAGGTGAATCCGATGGCTATATGAGTAAGCAATGGTGCACCTTTACATGTAGCTATGTGATGGGATTGAAGTCTGACAGGCGGTGAAAACACCTTGTTCCAAGTTTAACTACAGTTGTGCCTCTATTAAGCGGCCAACCTCTGCCAATCACCCTGTGGACATTCAGCTTAATAATTCAGTAAATCACTGTAAATAAAGACTTGACCTTCTACCAACAAGTAATTTTGCTAATGTTCACTTTACTGACATCCTAGTACTTGTTATGTTTAATGTCATTAAATATTTTATTTATGATGAAGCACTATTAAATCTGATCTTCTCTCTGACAGGTGACATGGGTGTAGGTAAATCTTGTCTTCTTCATCAATTTACAGAAAAGAAATGTAAGCACAACCTAGATGTCTTAGATTGCATTGTAAATGGAAATACCATTAGTACAAGCAGGGTTTGCAAATTTTATTGATGGGTGAAGTCAGTGCGACTTCTGCTTGAAACATTTTGGAGACATTTGGAATATTGGGAGTCAAGTAACACTTGCTTTGGCAGTTCTCCACTCAGTCTTTTCTACCAGTTAGCCATTTCAGTGCATAGTACAGGCATGTATACGCTATCATGACGGAAACTGGAATAGTTACATTCTCATGTGAGAGTCTGCTGACCTCTAAAGGCTCAAATCCATGATGGTGATCATCACTAACTGTAATTTAGCCTCCATGTGTATACACCAGGCCATCTGATAGGGTGCGATAAAAAATCAGAAATTGTGCGATATTTTCAAGGTAGATTGTGCGATAAGATAGGACTATTATGTGGTAAATTATGCATTTTTTTCAGGGCTAATTTACATTGTTTTACCAGGTTTCAAAGGAGAAAAACCACTTTAATGTTGTTTAACGGGCAATCTGAATGTAAAGGAATAATAAAACATCTATTTTAAAACAAAATAGTTAAATTTGTCCGATTATTTTGACACGGAAAAGAAAAAGGACACTTGCTTAATATTACATGACTCCCTTACACCGCTGACCACACTGCTTGTCTCTAAAATCAAAATGGCTGCCCAGATACCGCAATCGAAGGTTTCAGATGTCTTGCAAAGCTTTGTTTAGTGGTAAATCACTTTAAATAACCTTAAGATTGGGAAAATGTTTCATTAAAGTTAGAATTCATTGTTTACTTTACTAACTTGAATTTAGCATTTTTTAACAAATTATGCGATTTTCCTGAAATTGTGCGATCGGATGCGATTTGAGGTCAATTGTGTGAATACGTAATATCAGATGGCCTGTTTACACATGAATAATTCTTCAATTTTGGTGGTTAAAATCAGGTTTACAACGTTTGCAGTTGATATAGATTGTATTTGTTTTGAAAAAGGTAAGGAAAAAACTATTTTGCAACTGAAAATTTCTGGAGTCATCTTAAAAATATTTACATTCTCATGTGAGAGTCTGCTGACCTCTAAAGGCTCAAATCCATGATGGTGATCATCACTAACTGTAATTTAGCCTCCATGTGTATACACCAGGCCATCTGATAGAGTGCGATAAAAAATCAGAAATTGTGCGATATTTTCAAGATAGATTGTGCGATAAGATAGGACTATTATGCAGTAAATTATGCATTTTTTTCAGGGCTAATTTACATTGTTTTACCAGGTTTAAAAGGAGAAAAACCACTTTAATGTTGTTTAACGGGCGATCTGAATGTAAAGGAATAATAAAACAGCTATTTTAAAACAAAATAGTTAAATTTGTCCGATTATTTTGACACAGAAAAGAGAAAGGACACTTGCTTAATATTACATGACGCCCTTACACCGCTGACCACACTGCTTGTCTCTAAAATCAAAATGGCTGCCCAGATACCGCAATTGAAGGTTTCAGATGTCTTGCAAAGCTTTGTTTAGTGGTAAATCACTTTAAATAACCTTAAGATTGGGAAAATGTTTCATCAAAGTTAGAATTCATTGTTTACTTTACTAACTTGAATTTAGCATTTTTAAACAAATTATGCGATTTTCCTGAAAGTGTGCGATCGGATGCGATTTGAGGTCAATTGTGCGAAATCGCACCATCGCGTAATATCAGATGGCCTGTTTACACATGAATAATTCTTCAATTTCGGTGGTTAAAATCAGGTTTACAACGTTTGCAGTTGATATAGATTGTATTTGTTTTGAAAAAGGTAAGGAAAAAACTATTTTGCAACTGAAAATTTCTGGAGTCATCTTAAAAATATTGGCCTATTTGTGAACCCTGAGTACAAATCATGATAAAAAATTTATCAGTTCATTAAGCAGCATGGAAATTATTGGTAGTAACTTAACATTGGAAGAATCATTGTGGCCTCAAAAGAGGGAAATTTTCCCTACTGCGCTTTTCAAAAACAGGTGAATTCTGAAGTTAAAAAGCCACCTAAAATTTTTGTTCTTTGCTGCCGTCAATCATCACTACAGACTTCTTAGAAAACAGAAGTTTTCGTCAGTGAGTTCAAAGGTTAAGGGTTTGTGATTTGTGGAATTTGATCCTTTTTGTTAAATGTAGTTTTTGTGTTTTAAGCTTCATTGCGTATGATCTTATATACAATTAACACCAGTGAAATCGTAATTGTGAAGGTGGCTTTTAAACTTCAGAGTTCGCATGTTATTGAAAAGTTTAGTAAGATACAGTAGACTAAAGCTGAAAGATTGTATTGTGAATGTCCATCCTTAAGGCCTTGTTTCATTCTGAGATTATCATACCATGTCAGGCCAATGCAAGACATTGGCAAAAATAAGGACTTGAGATCTACAGTAGTGTACAGTCAGATGAATTCTACTGTATGCTGTTGGTCTTAACCATTTAACTCACTTTAACATGCACTTCTGTCATTGACATCACCTTGTCTATTGCAGTTATGGCGGACTGTCCTCATACTATTGGGGTGGAGTTTGGCACAAGAATAATTGAAGTTTCAGGTCAAAAGATCAAGCTTCAAATATGGGATACAGCAGGACAAGAGAGATTCAGGTATGATTGTCCCTTGCTCTACTGAACCCATCCACACTGTATCTCGGTAGTTAGAGCTAATGTATTTATTTAGACCGTCCATTGGCAGTGAGCTCAATCTTCCAAGAACTAACTCAGCAACTTTAATAATTGGTATGGTTACATAGGACACTTTTACATTGGCAAATGACCCTAGACCTTTTACCATGGGAAATTTTGGTGTGGTGCATGTGATCAGACTTTACCTAATATCTGACGTATGCAGTTTGTTTAATTGGAAAGTTTATTTGATATGAAGATTTAAATGCTGACAAGCATTCACAGACCAGAGTACCCATCTATGACAGTGAACAAGATCAATAATTTAATCCTCCATTGCTGTCATCACCATGGAAGTTGTAGAGTAATCATCTTATTATTGAATACCCAAAATGTGCCCACTGTGATAAATGTTGGCTACATTGCTGAGACCATTGGGAGTTGCCATTTGCATGGGCTAACCGAATNGGACCGGTCGCGAATTTGTCGCTCGCTTGGCCGCTTCGCGGCCTAAAAAGCTCGCTCCGCTCGCTAAGAAACTCGTGAAACTCGATTTCGCGGTAGTTTCAATGGGTTTTTCAGAAGCTTTGTCATCTTTTAGCCATTTCTCGTGATTGTAGTAGGAGCCCTCGTCGCTCTCTGCTAATTTCGAAACCCACACTTTGCAAACCGATTTTGCCGTCTTCTTTTGTCTTGGAGTCAAGGATGAAAACGGACAAGCTCTTTTTTCTTCTTTGGAGGCATTCACTTCCAAAATCCACAGGAAAGCAGTGAGCACTATACTTGTAGACGAGGATTTCTGTCAAATTGCTTGATTAGCTTTGTCCAACAGCGGCATGCGTATCAAGTATGACAGGACTTGTCAGCGATCAATTAAACTAATTAGCATAGAAAAAACTTTTGAGCTCCATAAGTCTGCACAGAAAAAACATTTTTTCCTGGAATTTTTTGTAAAAGAAAGCTTTTGATGAGCTCTACTTAATCATCTAAAAATTGAAAATTTCGAAAAATGATGGTTTTTTACCCTGGATGATACCTTAAGGCCTTGTTTCATTCTGAGATTATCATACCATGTCAGGCCAATGCAAGACATTGGCAAAAATAAGGACTTGAGATCTACAGTAGTGTACAGTCAGATGAATTCTACTGTATGCTGTTGGTCTTAACCATTTAACTCACTTTAACATGCACTTCTGTCATTGACATCACCTTGTCTATTGTAGTTATGGCAGACTGTCCTCATACTATTGGGGTGGAGTTTGGCACAAGAATAATTGAAGTTTCAGGTCAAAAGATCAAGCTTCAAATATGGGATACAGCAGGACAAGAGAGATTCAGGTATGATTGTCTCTTGCTCTACTGAACCCATACACACTGTATCTCGGTAGTTAGAGCTAATGTATTTATTTAGACCATCCATTGGCAGTGAGCTCAATCTTCCAAGAACTAACTCAGCAACTTTAATAATTGGTATGGTTACATAGGACACTTTTACATTAGCAAATGACCCTAGACCTTTTACCATGGGAAATTTTGGTGTGGTGCATGTGATCAGACTTTACCTAATATCTGACGTATACAGTTTGTTTAATTGGAAAGTTTATTTGATATGAAGATTTAAATGCTGACAAGCATTCACAGACCAGAGTACCCATCTATGACAGTGAACAAGATCAATAATTTAATCCTCCATTGCTGTCATCACCATGGAAGTTGTAGAGTAATCATCTTATTATTGAATACCCAAAATGTGCCCACTGTGATAAATGTTGGCTACGTTGCTGAGACCATTGGGAGTTGCCATTTGCATGGGCTAACCGAATCTGTAGGATACATGATACACAATCTATATTTTCTGATAACATGGGTTCCTTTATGCTTCCATCAGTAAGTTGCTCATTTCATTTTCTTGTTCAACTCTGCAGAGCTGTAACACGAAGTTACTACAGAGGGGCTGCTGGTGCTCTTATGGTATATGATATCACAAGGTGATTCAACAATGATCTCTTGCTAATATACAGCGGAACCTTGATATAACAAAGGGTTAAGGGAGTGACAAGAAAAAATGTTTGCTATAATGAGATTTTGTTATATCTAGGTTCTTTACGATATATAATACTCTTACTGAGACTAGGATTATTGTTTGTTATACCAAGGACTTTGTCATATAGGGGTTCGTTAGACTGAGGTTCCACTGTACAACTATCCCCAAAATAAGAAGTGAATAGTATACAACTATCCTCTGAAGGGGAGGTAAATAGTAGTGGATATATATATACCGAGATGTGAAGCGTGATGGTATATATCTAGTGCTGTTCACCGACCCTGAGGGGGATAGTTGTTTTAGTATTTACCAAATAGGTTGGATAAAACTGAAAAAAACTTCACTTGGTAGGAACTTTGTTTACAATTTACAAACATTTTGGGGATTTTGTCAAGTGCATTTTACGATTTTGTTGCAAATTCAGCATGAAAATAATTTTCTATCAACCAGTGAACACTGACAAGCTAAAGTTCGTCCCGTTCTTGCTATTTGTTTGTACGACTGCTTCATTTATCGCACAAATTTCATCTTCCAAAAATGTCTCAAAAGAAGACGCCATCTTGGCTCTGGTCGCAAAACAGTGAATGGATATTCCAAGTTACAGGAGGCAATCAAAACGCTGCCAAAAATTGCTATTTACTGATTTGTTAAATACTAATGGTAGAGATACATTTACCAGTACACTGAGTGTCAAGATATATATCTTATTCTATCACTATGTACCAGCCCTGTTCAGGAGATGGTTTTGGTATTTACCAAATGAAAAAGTAACCTTTTTTAAGAGATGCCATGCAGTAGGGGCTTTGTTTAGGTTTCAATTGTGTCAATAACAAAATGCTTGAATCTGATTGGTTCTTAACAACCCATATTTACAGCTTAATTTTGTTATTGTAACTCCAAAACTTTCCAATTTGACCTGTCCGATTACATGGAGCTTGTAATCAGACAGCTCAAATCGGACAGTTAAAGAGCTGATGATAATCAAGTAGGAAATGCCATTAGCCAATGCAATTTAACTACATAGCACATGATAACCAATAAAAAATAATCAGTATCTGACAATGAAAAAATGGAGACCAGGTAAGCTATGCGCTCAGCCAATTTGAAATTACTCGCCCCATTACTCCCTGAATTGTAGTCCATTCAGTCCTATTAGTATGACCTGTGGAAGGTAGAAAATTATTTTCTCAATTAATTTGCCATAAGTCACAAAAATGCACTGGACAAATCCCTGAAGCACTGTTAATTAAGGCTATCAATGTATTAATATTATAAGCAGAATGTTTAAGTCACAAATGTGACTACAGATACAGCAAAAAGGACCAATTGTGAAGTTTGTGAGACAAAGTACTTAGATCATGTATTCCTCTATTTTTGTAAACACTGTACATGTTTTAGCCCTGTTTTATCAGCACTACTTTATGATTGAGAAAATTAAGAAATTCCTTCCCCAGAGAGCAGGAAAATTCGTTTCTGAGGGCCAAATTTTAAAAATTTTGTTGGGGTTCATGCCTCTAGACCCCCCCCCCCCCNATTTTCTCAATTAATTTGCCATAAGTCACAAAAATGCACTGGACAAATCCCTGAAGCACTGTTAATTAAGGCTATCAATGTATTAATATTATAAGCAGAATGTTTAAGTCACAAATGTGACTACAGATACAGCAAAAAGGACCAATTGTGAAGTTTGTGAGACAAAGTACTTAGATCATGTATTCCTCTATTTTTGTAAACACTGTACATGTTTTAGCCCTGTTTTATCAGCACTACTTTATGATTGAGAAAATTAAGAAATTCCTTCCCCAGAGAGCAGGAAAATTCGTTTCTGAGGGCCAAATTTTAAAAATTTTGTTGGGGTTCATGCCTCTAGACCCCCCCCCCCCCAGACACTCAGGCCCCTTGAGCCTTTGCTGCATGGCGGTTGGCCATGTTTTAGAACTGAAATCTTTCATGCTGCTTCAAAACTTAATGACAGCCCTGTTAACATTATAGCCTCTATCAGAGTTAAGGTGGATTTCCACTGTCAGATAATTTTTACGTGTATAAATAAAATAGAGGTGATGTATGAAAGGCCTCGTGGAAAACTAAATGTTGAGCGAGGCTTAACTTTTATATTTATGCACGACCTTTCATACGTTGCCTCTATTTCATTTACATGCGTAAAATTTATGTGGGTACACACATAAAAATTATGGGACAATGGAAATATACCTTAAAGCCAAGTCACTGACATCATCATCTGTGGCAATTTTTTTTTCTGTAGGAGAAGCACTTACAATCATTTAAGTAGCTGGCTTACCGATGCAAGGAATCTAACAAACCCCAACACGGTAATGTCATCAAAGTGTCATGCTCTTTGCTTCTTTCAATTTATGCATTTTGAAGGTGCTTGTCAAGAACAAGATTGTAAGGCACTGTAAGCAAAACAGGTTTTTTTTTTCCATAAGAAGCGCAAGGTTTATACAAGATTAAACAGAATTTTTTGGACAATGGTTACTTCACAATGGCTCAATGTTAATTTTGTCTTTTGCATTTAAATGCAGGTAATATTTCTTATTGGGAACAAGTCAGATCTTGATGCTCAGGTGAGTGTTAACAAAGCAGACAATTACATGTAACATCACTTGATGCTGTTTATGAAAATGTGAGTGAGCCAAAGCTACATTCTGAACACCTGAGTTAACTATAAACAACTATATTCTGTCCAAATAGAGAGATGTGACCTATGAGGAAGCCAAACAGTTTGCAGAAGAGAATGGCAAGTACCTGCAGGCTTTTTCATTTTCTCTGCCAAAAGTAGTTGCTGTTATTGTCAGTTTGTCATGGGAAAACGAAAAAGAGGAGGAAAAATGGAAACGTTGTCTGATAATCATTTAAAAAAATTGTCATTCCTTGTATGTTGTATTTTTTATTTTCTCGAGCATTTTATCAAATTTTAAATCAATGTTTTACTGTTTCTCTTAAAATGTTATAAAAATCTTATAAAAACTACACACAAAACTTCTGTAAAATATTCATAAAAATAAAACGTCCACATCAATATTATATAAATACAAATTTCCGGCAAAACCTCTTCACAATTCAGAATTCTAAGATACTAATTAAAAACTTAAATATATGTCCACGATAGAAAACTACTTACAATTGTGAATACTTTGAGAGTGGGAAAAGGAAAATCAAGCATTACTAAGAAAAAAACTATCAAAAATCTAGGCCTAAAATTATGAATACAGATGTAGACCAGCTACAGCGAAAGTGAAGTCTTCTGAGACCTCACGTGATTTGAATGGATATCTAGAACCTCTGAATGACTGTTTCTCTTTGCATGTGACGGCCACAAGTGAGTACAATGTACATGTATGTATCTACACAATAATGTACTTTACATATGGATATAATAATGATGTCAATAATTATTTCTCTCTTTTAGGACTTCTGTACTGTGAAGCAAGTGCAAAAACGTGAGTCCTGTCAAAACATAAAATTAATGTGCTGTAACAATGGAAATTATTGTTCTGAATCAGTTATTGGAGTTTCTGATGGCATGTGGTTACTTAACAATGTATTATTACATGAGTGGGCGTTGGATATGAGATGGTAGATAGCCAATAAGGTGCGTAGCACCAAACTGGCTATAATCACCTCATATCCAACAACTGCAAGTGGAAAACGCCCACAGAATATCGAGAATTCTTCCCGACTTGATTTGTAAAAACAACCGATTTTCAGCTTGTTTTTAATTTTGAGCAACAACAACAACAACAACAACAACAACAACACTTTAGCAGACGCATACTATTTGGAGAGCATGGTATAATGGCTCATATACCATGATACAATGTAACTAAGCCAATCAGAGCTCTAGAATTGCATTATCCAATGATTCAGTTTTTAATAAAAATAATTATTTCATTGACCTTGTTCATTTGCAGTGGTGAAAATGTCGAGGATGCTTTCCTTGAAACTGCAAAGAAGATTTACCAAAATATTCAAGATGGAAGGTACAGCCTTACAGCTGAAGTTTAACCCAGTATTTTAACAAAAGTCCTTTTGTCAACATTATGAGTATTGAATAATGGATAATTGTTAGGTTAAGATGGCTTTATTTCAGCCAAGTCAAGGCTGTGCTCTAAGGAAAATTCAAGGGAGCCCATTGCTCTGAAACTGTAAAATCTTGGGTGTCCAGTATATGATTTGTATGAAAAAAGTAAGATTTTCTATTCGCTCAAGGGTTAAAGTTCGGTGCCAGGGTCCACCAGGTTCTGCTAAAGCACAGCCCTGCAAGTTCTTTCTTGTGTATTAATGGACCAAGACGAAGTCAAGGTCAATAAATACTCGAAAATGAAAGAGGTCAACGTTTAGCCGTCTTGATAATGTGGCCATAAAGAGAACTTCTTCTTGATGGGCCCGTCTTGCCCGCTCAGGTAGGCAATCAGGACACAGGATTCGGTTCGTCTTGCTTCCTCATGGATTCAGCCATCTAATAATTAGAGGCCTTTAGATTCCGAGACGAGAACGACTACGAGTTCGAGATTTTCTCAATACTGAGTATTGCTCACGCGTGAACCAGCGTCATTTTGGCGGGAAAACGTGATAGCCGTCGTCATTCTACTACGAGTTTTAGCGAGAGTGTCGTAGTGGCGGGAACAAGTTATCAAATGTNAGGTACAGCCTTACAGCTGAAGTTTAACCCAGTATTTTAACAAAAGTCCTTTTGTCAACATTATGAGTATTGAATAATGGATAATTGTTAGGTTAAGATGGTTTTATTTCAGCCAAGTCAAGGCCGTGCTCTAAGGAAAATTAAAGGGAACCCATTGCTCTGAAACTGTAAAATCTTGGGTGTCCAGTATATGATTTGTATGAAGAAAGTAAGATTTTCTATTCGCTCAAGGGTTAAAGTTCGGTGCCAGGGTCCACCAGGCTCTGCTAAAGCACGGCCCTGCAAATTCTTTCTTGTATATTAATGGCTCAAGACGAAGTCAAGGTCAATAAATACTTGAAAATGAAAGAGGTCGACATTTAGCCGTCTTGATAATGTGGCCATAAAGAGAACTTTTTCTTGATGGGCCCGTCTTGCCCGCTCAGGTAGCCAATCAGGACACAGGATTCAGTTCGTCTTGCCTCCTCATGGATTCAGCCATCTAAAAATAGAGGCCTTTAGATTCCGAGACGAGAACGACTCCGAGTTCCAGATTTTCTCAATACTGAGTATTGCTCACGCGTGAACCAGCGTCATTTTGGCGGGAAAACGTGATAGCCGTCGTCATTCTACTACGAGTTTTAGCGAGAGTGTCGTAGTGGCGGGAACAAGTTATCAAATGTTAGAAGTTTTAGCATTTTGGAATCGGGAGAGGTCTAACCTCCTTCAATAACGATAACAGTGCTAACTTTTCTGATGAAAAAAAGTACAATGAAGAATTCCTGGGTGTCTATTTTTTGACAATACGCGAAAAAAACTTTAAATCAAATCTCGTACTCGTAGTCGTTCTCGTCCTCGAATCTAAAGGTCTCTTATAGACCTCATTCACGATACTCGCCATCATTGCACGTGCTTGAGGCCTGTTGGGGTAAAAGCAATGTCACATGGTTTCTCAGGGAGCAAACAAGTGGTAAAAGCCGCCAATGCAAGAAATCGCGGACGCGTTTGTTTATTCTAGACAACAGAAAATGTACAACTTTTTATCTTAAAAACGATAATGGCAAATCATAGGTGTAAGGGATCATTGTTACTGTTTTGGATGCAGTAGTAACCTGAGACCAGGCCCAATTTTAGCGGTTCTCATACATTCTTTCTAACGGCTACCGCTAAAATTGGGGCTCTGTTTTCGTTTCGCCTTGCCGCCGGAATGTTATTACAAAGCGAAACGAAAATTGAGCCTTATCTCAGGTTAATGCAGTAGCGACCGTACATTTCCTCATAACAAGCACTATTGACGCGAAACTTGAGTAAATTCGACCTTTAGCTGTACACTTTGCTTTACTATCAAATCGTCGTCTCGTTTTGAGAGAATAAACAAACTCGACAGTGATTACTTGTATTGGCAAATTTTATCACTTGTTTGCCCCCTGAAATACCGCGTGACTTTGCTTTTATCCCATCAATCCTAAAGCGCGTGCAAAGATGGCGAGTATCGTGAATAAGGTCTATCAGAGAGCTTTAGATTCTGAGACGAGGACAACTACGAGTACGGGATTTCCTCAACACTCACGCGTGAACCAGCGTCATTTTGGCGGGAAAACGTGGTAGCCGTCGTCATTCTACCACGAATTTTAGCGAGAATGTCGTAGTGGCGAGAACAAGTTATCAAATTTAATGTAATTTTGTTATCAGGAGAGGGCTTAACCCCCTTCAGTATAAATAACCGTACTAACTTATTTGGTGAAAAAAGTAAACTGATACTTTCCGAGGTGTTTTTTTTAGAACCCGTACAAAAACTTTAAGTTAATTCCCGTACTCGTTCTTGTCCTCAAATCTAACCTGAAAGGGTTAAACAGCATCGTGAATATGTTTTTTTTATATTGCTTTGTTTAGCTTGGATCTCAATGCTGCTGAGACTGGAGTTCAACACAAGCCACTTACGGGCCGGCCATCAAACGCACTGCATACAGACCAGCAGGCAAATCAGGAAAGATGTTCCTGCTAACCATCCGTAATTGAGAGTCATATTTTAACCAGAAATCATCAAGAAATCAAATCTGCCACGGTGGAAAGCAGAAGAAAGAGTGACGTATTTTGAGGAATTGGTACAAATGCATTGGCATAGGATGACATGTAGATATCATAATGTGATATAAATGGATTATGGTCAATTTGCCTATGTAGCAACTTGCGTACTTCTTTGTTTAACTTACACTATGTTTCTTGTGTGATCCACACAGAAATATTCCAGACTGATCTCCATGCTTTGTCTCAGAGAATTAGTTAAGAGAATTTGATCAAGGATCTAAGCATTTTCTCTTTAGTGATAAAGTTATTAATTCTCATAACCTTTTGTCTGAATTTGCAGGCATGACTTCAGGTCGCTTTCCCCGGAGGGAGTAAGCGACTCGAAGACTTCGAGTCGCTTAGTAATGTCTTAAATTCATGTTGGTCACCATTAGGACTTCAAGAGTCAAGGACTAGAAATACATAACCATTTATTTCTTCTAGGGATACGTCAAATGATATTCACCACATTAATAGGTAAGTTAAACCAAGTGGTATGCAAGTTTAAAATATGCGAGCTTTTCTTACACGTTGGCAAATTGACTGGTGTCCAATATAAATTCTTACATTGTATTACAGTAGTAAACGGGGACACATGGTGTTTATAGCTCTCTTGTTCATACTGACTGGGTAATTGCTGTGTGTCTCCTCAGCTTAGAGCGTACTTGGTGATAACGAAAGAGAACCTCCATAAGATTTGCGAACAAAATATGGATAAGAAGGCCCCATTTATTTGGAGAAAACGTGTCGCGGTTAAAAGCGTCACTCGCCTACCTGAGCTACCCGGGCCAAGCCAACGTTTCTTACATTGGCTCAGCTAGAAGGCGGGTCACCGTTTTTCGATGGTAGAGTCACCGTCCTAGCTGGACCAGCTTTTCTCGTTATAGACACTTTTGGCTCGCCCAGCCAGGTCTAGGCAAGACAATCAGAGCATGGGCGAGCGCTACTGTCGGCTCTTCGCTCGGGCAAAGGGGTAAATTTTTTCTCATATAAACACTCACTTACATGTACATGTAAGTTGACTCGGCTGGGAGGGTGACCCTCTTTCCCGTGACAACTTTTCTCTACATTAACGGGTCCTAACCCCCCACCCCCTCCCCACATTTGTGTCACATGGAGGGAGGGGCAGCTAAATACTGAAGGATTCAGTAGAGCGCAAAAATTTCATTATACATTTTTCTCTTCTAGGATAAAAGGTTTAAACAATTGTAATTGTCGGCTCCTCGCTTGGGCAAAGGGGTAAATTTTTTCTCATATCAACCCTCGCTTACATGTGAGTTGACTCGGCTGGGGGGGTGATCCTCTTTCCCGGGACACTTTTCTCCACATTAACGGTTCCTACCCCCCCCCCCCCTCCCCACCTTGGTGTCACGTGGAGGGAGGGGCAGCTAAATACTGAAGGATTCAGTAGAGCGCAAAAATTTCATTATACACTTTTCTCTTCTAGGATAAAAGGTTTAAACAGAATTGTACTATAAAGTTCATTTCTCTAATTTCTGGTGTGGTATCTCGTATTTCACTTCTTTGTAGTGGAGATTAGACGTACAAATGCTGGGATCTATTTAGGTTTCAAGAAAACTGCCAACCTACCCCTTCCCTAAGCCAACGTTAACACTTACTTCTCACTTAGGGCAAAGTATTGGCGTAAAACAGGAAACTACAGTAACTCAGGGTTTCGATTCAAGCAGTGGCATGGTGTTGTACGATTTCTAATTGGGGCCAGTGTTTCGAAGCTAAGATGCAAAATATTTAAGTATTGTTTCAGAACAACAGACTCAGTCAAAAGGGGGGGGGGGGGGAGCATGTAGCAGTTGCTCGGAAGAGAAGTCACCAATGGTGCCTAACCTTGACCCTAAACAATACTGAAACAATTGAAAGAATGACATGTCATTGTTTTCTGCGACCAATCAGAACAGACCTTACGAGCAGCTCCTACACAACTGATCAAAAGCTTAGTAATTACTTACTATACGTCCAAGGGCTCCCATTGATCACGGAACTATGAAACAGATTTAGAATATCGCGTCAGCGGCAAACGGCGATAGTGAGATTCAAGGAGACAATTTTTCAAATTAGAAAAAGGCCTATAAAACTGTGCAAAATAATTCTAATGGATCAAATGGACCTGAAACTACTTACTTTTTTAGTCATAATGAACTGTAAATGACAAAAAACAACTGACGTTTCCCGTTAACCTAATGCTACATCGGAGCTCTCCTTCAGACTCGTTTCCGGGACGGGGACAGGGGAGACTTCCTGGAAACGAGGCCGTGACTCCGTGGATCTAGCCTCCAACGGAGACCTAATTAGGGTTTCGTCACGCATTCCTACCCCACGTTGGTAGGAGAGGATTGCGTTTCGAGCCAACAAAACGGGACGACTGTGTGGTAGGCTACCGTGAATCCAGCCGCTGTGGACTTATCTGTATGCCCATAGTATTGAAGATACGACCGAGAAGTGGTTGAATAGTTAGATTCGCTTGTGGCAATAGATTCTTTTAATTCCAATGTAATATTTCTAAGTGCTATGTACAACCAAATCCGAACTTCATGTTACTTTAATTACAATATCGTTCCATGTAACATAATGTTGTCAAAGATCTCTTACAAATTTAAAGCTTACCAGTTTAGTTTTTACAATGTAAATGAATAAAATGAGAACTAAATTTGTTGTGGAAATTCTCTCTACAAGGCTTTATTTGTGTTGGCCCTTAACTTAAAGATAAGCCACAAACCCTATGATTGAAACTGTCGTTCCTTATTTTCCATCTTATTGCGGAATTTTATGATTCTAAAAGGTGATATTGCGCGAGACAATTCGCAACGACGATTTTTAGCGAAACACAGCGTTGCAACATTGTTGCGACATTGGTTCGAAAAGTTACAACATTGTTCCAACATTGCAACGCCGTGTTGCACTTAAAATCATCGTTACGAATCGTCCCGTGTAACATCACCTTAAGGGTTTGTTTACATTGTACCAGATAGCTTAAGAGCCGGCACGAGAACCATACCGGATAGGGCTTTGGTTCATACATAAGAAACGTGATTTCGGCGCGATGTTTGTAACAGAGTGAAGTTGCGCCTCACCTATCTGCAAAGGGGAGAGTCACCCGGGGTGGGGGGGGGGGGGGGGGGGGGGGGGGG